GGAGAAAACATATTTGGAGTCCCAGGAGTCTTCAGGTCTATAAATGTCAGAGCTTGCATGAAGTAACTGTCTTGTAAAAGCTAGCAGCCAAGAGGAGAGTAAGTGAAGCATTGCAATGAAGAGAACAAAGTGGCACAGAATGACAAACATGAAGTGTGAAACCTGTTGATGCCTGAGAGAGGTTGTTGTGTAGGGATCCAGCTGGTTAACAGCTTGTTTTACGCAGCAGCTCCTCCAGACTGGAGCCACAAACACACAGAAAGGAGAGAGGTTTGGGTGACAAATTGTGTAGTGGAAGGTCATGAACTTATTTTGAAGTTATTTGCTCATAAAATCCCCCTGTTATGTGAAACTGAGCTAGAAGATAAAGGATGCATTACTGCTGGAATACAGGGTCTCCTTAAGTCAGCTTCTACAAGTGCAATATATCAGACAGTAGAGGAAGTTCTCAGTTATAACAAACTATTTTGCATCTGTCAGGAAAATACAAAGTATGAATGCACACTTACATTGGCAATGTCCCTCTCCAAGTCCATAACTCGTGCCACCTCCTCTCTGATGTGGGTTTCATTGATATCCAGTCTCCGGTCAGTGCGGATCAGTTTAGCCAGATCAATCATGAACTGCTCGTAAGCTTGACATGCCTGTCAAACACACACTCATTTATTATATTTGCACTGTAAGCTTTAACAGGAAGGAAAGGAGGTCACTGGCATTAATTTAACCACTGACCCAAAATTGGAGCTAACAGCATGCACTTGCTCACAGAAACATACACACACATCCTTGCGATCTTCACTTACAGGGTCCATATACAAACTTAGATTCATGTTCAGGAGACTTACTCAAACTTTAACCAGATCCACTGCTTGCCTAATTTTAACCTTTATCCCAGCACCTAACCAAAGATCCACCGCCTAAATCTAGTTAACTTAGTTTTCAACAAAGCCTATGTAACCCTAATCTGAACCAAATCAATCTATTAACCATAACCATCCATCCATCCATCCAT